AGGGGCCCCCAGCCAGTGCGGATGCCGCAGATCTGGCTGCGGACACAGCAGATGATGGATCCAGTTCCCAGAGGACTGAGCTGACATCCCCTCGGAGCTCCCTGGACTCCCTTCCGTCCGCGTCCGTCCACGCTGATGACATCCTAAAGATCCTCAAAGCATTTGTGCGGGATTTTGACAAGCTGAGGTGAGACGATGAGCAGGGGCGCTTTGGCAGGGACAGAGCAGTGCTGGGAGGGAGCCAGGCAGGGCTGGGAGCATGGAGGGGGCAGAGGTCTGTGGGGATGTGTGCAGGAATGGGGGAGACTGTATTGCCCTGGCTGGAGCCACAGCTGCCCCTGCCTGCTCTGCAAGCTGACAGAGGGGTATGGAGGGTCCTGCCAGGGTAGGGGTTGCTCCTGGTGCAGGTCAGCTCTGAGGGGAAGTGCTGGGGTGAGGGATGGCTGGGAACAACCGGGCAGGAGGTGAACAGCAGCCCAGAGGGAAGAAGCAGACCCCCGAGACAAGCAGGAGCCAGTGGCACTCACAACAGCTGTGGGGTTGTGCTCATTCGTGTGATGATGGTGATAGTGCTCAGTGCAGCTGAGGGGTCCAGGGCTGCTGCTCACCCACGTAGAGCTGAACCCGGAGCTCCAGAGCTTTTCTCTCTGTCCCTCAGGGGGAAGGACAATTCAGCAAAGGATTTGCTACAGGGACGGGACAGCACCAAGGATGGGGAGTACTGGGACGCTCTGGCACATGCTATCCCCGAGTCAAAGCTGAAGCTTTGGGATGCGCTGATGGTGGCACTGGAGAAATATCAGTGAGTGCCTGGTAGCCCTGCTGGGGGCAGGGCAGGCTGACAGCTTGGCTGGGGGAGCCTCACCGGTGCTGGCACAGGCTGATCCTGCAGGCCTTGCTGGGAGAGCGGGCTGCCAAACCCAGCTGCCCACGTGGGAAGGAGCTCGGCAGGACTTTCGCAATGTCCCCACGGTGGCTGACAGGCGCTGAGCCTGGAGCAGCTAGGCACAGCACCCAGGGCTAGCTGGGGGTGCTGCCAGGCCAGCCTGGCAGGAGAGCAGCACTGGTGTGTGGGGCTGGTGCTGGGATCGTGCTGGGGACCAGCCGAGGGACGCACAACACCGGTGACAATGAGGTGGCCTACTCACTCTGCTCCTCCCTGGGGAGTGGCTCTGCAGGCTGTGTCAAGACCCCAGAGACCCTGCCAGCAGTTCCCTGTCTGCCCCTGGGGCCAAGGCTTTGCTGTTCCCTGTTGTCAGAGCATCCTTTTTGCACAGCAACATCCTTGCGCAGAGGGCCAATCTGATCACCGAAGTAGCTGTCCTGCAGCAGCAGAACTCGGAGCTGTGCCTGCTCCTGGATCAGTATGTCAACTCCAAGGTGAGTAGAGCTTCCTCTTGCCCCTGCACCCTCGAGACCTTGGTGCTCTGGCTGAGCATGTGACTGTCCGGACTAGCTTTGAGTGCAGACTGGAGCTCGCAGCCTGCTGGCAGTATGCTCAGTGCAGAGGATGCTCGGAGCTAGGGACTGGGCGTGCAGGAAGGGAAGCAAGAGTGTCCTGAGCCCATAGGACCCACAGAGCTAGACCAGGTCCAGTTGCACAGCCTGACAAAAGGTGAGGGCTGGCACATCCACTGGCTATGCATGTACCAGCGTGGACACAAAAGGCAGGGCTGGCCATTCACCAGATGGCCGTAGGGATGGCCCTTTCCCAGTGCCCCTGCCCAGAGATGGGTTGGCCTCGGTGCTGTCCCAGTGTGGACAACCAGAGGGCAGTGCCCAGCCCTTGCTGTAATATTTATTAGCATAGACAGAGCTGAGGAGTGCTCTGGCTTTTTAGCTAGGACTTTGGAGGATCCCTGCCCTCTCCCCAGGGGACCTGAAAACCCAAGAGTGAACATTCACAGGGTCCTGGTGTGCCCTGCAAGATGCTGCCAGTGCTACCAGGGCAGTAGCAGACCACCCAACCTGGGCACGCTTGGTGCCACGTGTCTGCTGGGGCATTAACTGGTGCATTAACTGGTGCTGGGGCATTAACTGGTGCTGGTGTCTAACCCTGCCACAGGGCATGCACTGGGGGACCAGGAAAGAGGGCAGATGAACCCCGGGCCATGTCCTCGGGCTGCTCCCAGCTGTCCCCGCCGCACGTGCTCCGGTGGAGCTCACAGATGTTGGGGCTACTCCCCGGAGCCCAGTGCTGTCAGGCTCAGGGTGTCTCCTCCCACAGGTGAACAGCGAGCTGCTCTCCCCTCCCACGGAGTGGATGGACCTGAAGCCGCATGGCCCCAAGGAAGCGCAGTGAGCACCTGGGACCAGGGCACGGCTTTTCTCTGCCCCCAGCCAAGGCTGTGTCTGGAGCTGGTGCTGCCTGGCAGGAGCCAATACACCTCTTCCGAACCTGGGCTGCAGGCATGTGTGTGATCTCCAAGGAGGGTTCCTCTCCCCTCTGAAGATGCTGGTGGGTCACAGCTGAGCACTCCCCCGATCCTGGGGACTCACAGCACTGTGGGAAAGTGCTTCCCTGCTCCTGTCTCAAAGCCATGTGGTCTGTGTCCTCCCCTCCCTGCCCCTTCCCTCCGTGGAGCCAAAGCCAGGCAAGAGCCGTCATCTCCAGCCAGGGGCTGTGTGGGCTTGCTGACAGCAGGTTGCAGCCACCGCCAGCTCTGTAGACCCTTCCCAGCTCTGTCGGCTCACCTGAGCCCACCAAGCAGTAGCCACCACCCCTGCGCAATGCTGTACTCCACACTACCCTGCTCACAGCCTCCCCCCATCAGCCTGACAGCATCCTCCTGGGAGCCCCAGTCCACCCCTCTCCCTTACAGAGAAGCCTGATGTCTTCACCTTCTGCAGCTCTTTTTATTCAAGATCGCAGGTTGGCTGTTGGAAATTGTCAAGGAAATTGCAGCAGTCGCATATAACCAGTGCAGGATCCACTAGCCCACCTCCTGTCACAGCCTTCGAGCTATGCTAAAGGGCTCAGTCTGGGCCCTTTTCCTCTGGTTCCCCTGACCACTGTGCCCTGAGCGTGGGCAGGCAGCATTGCTGCCCCGTGCCCAGACACCAGCTTGCTTACCGCATGGTGAATCTTCCCCCAGATACGGGGCTGCCACTGACTTGAGGCAGAGCCGCTTCACCTGCCCTCCTCTGCTACTTCTTGCAAGGAGTCTCATTCCCTCCTTCCCCCATGCTGACTTCTCTCCTGCTCTGCTCCTCACGTGCGGTATGCTCAGCCCAGATTGGACTGTGTGTGTGTGTGTGTGTGTGTAGCCAGGCTGGGAGCGAGTCCCTGAGCATTGGTGTGCGTGGCTGTGGCACGCTGGTGGTCCCGCAGAGCGCCCCATGCATGTTTCTCCATCCCAGGCTTTCCTGGGCGCAGCAGGGACCCAGCACCATCCCAGCCCTGGCTTGCTCGCAGACAGCAGGGATGTGGCACCATCCCGTTCTGCTGATGGGGGAAGAGGGGGGAGCAGGATCAGAGCAGCCCATGGTAGTGAGGAAAGAGAGCCAGGGAGCACCCTGGGGCCAGTCTGAGACCAGCTCCTCCATGGCCAGGGCCCCTTGCCAGCACTTCCCTGGGGTTGGGGCAGGGCCTGTGTGAAACTAGCTCCTTCCCCCTCCCCAAATCTCTCAAACCAGCATCTCTCCCTGCCCCTTCAATGAGAGCCAGGGCCTCATTGGTGAGTCAGTACAGCTGAGGGACCCTTCCAACAAGGCTGAGACAGGATCTGGCTCCCTGGCCCCCTTCAGTGTCTTGATCCTGTGGTCCAGCAGCTGAGACTGGAGACAATTCCTCAGCATCACTCTTGGCCTGAGCCCAGCATCATGGCATTTGGGACCAGCAGCCTCCTAAAACCAGCTCCAAGAGCCCCAAAGCTAGTGAGTGAGGGTCTTGCACCCCTGAAGCCAAGAACAGGTGGGTCTTTGACAGCTTAGCTCTGCAGCGAGCTGAGAAAGGAGCCTACTTCCTCCCCAGTGCACAAAGCGAGAAGTGCCCCAGCCCCAGTCAATAGCCATCAGCACAAAATAAACCAGCAGGCCACTGTGAGAGCGCACAGCGCCAGGGGACGTAGCTGCCTGCAAGCCCCCCGGCGGTCCCACCACCACGGCCAAACTCGGTGGCCTGGGAGATGTCTGCGAAGCTGTAAGCCTCCCTGCCAGCCCTGGAGAGGGGGGACCTCAAGATACCTCGAACCTGCCAGTGTTGGCGGCTGCTGGGGCACGGGGGCTTGGATCCCCCTGGTGGGATCGGCCCCTTCAATGGGGGCCGTGGCAGCGCTGGCACAGAGGGCAGGCCATGGGGCTGCTCCGTGCCTTGTCCCTGCTGCTGCCCTGGTCCAACTCTTCCCTCTTAAACAGGAGACTTGAGACCTGATGCAGAGTGTTTTGATGTTTATTGACTGAGCAACACCTGTAAGAACCTAAGAATGCCTAAGTGGGCTAGTCAGCACATCGCTTTTAAGAGTGGTATTAATTCACAGCTATGTCACTGTAAAGAAATCTTATAAATCACGCCCAAGCACTGTCAAGCTACAATCCCGTTGCCTTCCCCTCGGCCCTTCGTACCCATGTGCAGGTCTCTCCCTCCTTCCTCCATGCTCCCACACCAGCTCCTCCAGGCATAGCCCTGACGGGGAGCCCCCCGGCATCGCGGGGGGCTTGGGCCACAGGTCACCATCACCGCTACCTGTAGGCATCCCTGCTCCTGCCATCGGAGACCTCACCCTCCTTTGCTCTTTACCTGATTGTATATGTTATTCCCCACTTTTTCTTGTCCTGAAACCGCCTTTTGCAGCGCCCGCACCGCCTTTTCTCCCCTCAGTCTCTCCCAAATGACCAGTGCACCCTCAGTTACTTTTCCCTCATTGGTCCCAGTTCTACATCCATACCTAAGTTGGGAGTTTCTGACACTGGGCACTTTAGGTCCAAAATGATATTACTTAGGCAGTTACCTGGACGAAGACAGCCTTGCATCCCGTGATGCCCTTCTGATGCTCTGCTTACACTTCATGTGCGTTATAGGCTCTGTAGCCGGAATTATCTTGCTTTACCCTTGACTCCCCTACCTACCTCTGGCTAAGCACAAGCAGTTTCTCATCCTGGGCACAGCCTGCCTGCGTACCAGAGCAGCAGAATAACACCACCTTTGCTCACCGGTATCTGTGCCCTTGAATAGCTGTCATCCCCCTCCTGGTTCCCATGAGAGGCCAGAGCCAGCTTTAGGGCCTGCTGCGGGGTTGCTCCCTGCTCTGTCCCCGCTCGCTGTTATATCCCTGCTGGAAAGCACCCACTTGAAGGCACGTTTTGAGGGATGTGAGACCCCCCCCCCCAGCCCAGGCATCCCCCAGCAGCCCGCGGTTTTTTTACCGGCGCGCCCAGCCCCGGCCAGGGACGCAGCGCGGCCTTGGGATCGGAGCCATCCCCTGTGTCTTCAAGATTAAACCTCGGAGAGAGTCCGCAAAGCAGAAACGCAAACACGGAGGAGGCGGGAGGCAGGGAAAGGTGGGAGCCGGGGACAGGCACCCTGTCTGGGACGGGGAAGAGCAGGCACCACCGGGCGCTGGAGAACACCCGTCTGCGGGGCTGAGCAGAGACCGGGTGCTGAGACACATCCCCCGTGCTCCTCCTCCGGATCTCCATCTCCCGGAGTCAGGAGATGTCCCGGGAGGCCCCTTCCCGACTGAAGGGACCAGCAGGCCACCAGCTCTCCCAATTGCAGAGGGAGGCGAGACAGTGGGTTTTAGCAGTCCCAAACACACGGGGAGGCATGAGAAGAAAGCTAAACCCACAACCCCGACGCCGTGCACAGGCACGGGACAAACGGGGGGGAGAGGGGGGACAGTTCAGCTGACCTGGGAAGATGCCCCCCAACAGCAGCAGGAAAAAAAAAGGGCTGGGGAGGGGGGCAAAGCTGCATTGGAGCAGGCTCAACAGCTGAGGGCGGGCAGCGGAGTGAGGGTCCTCCCCCC